AAACATTCCGACGACGTTTATAAAACATATTATTTTTTTTATTTTTTTTCAAACCCGAAATAATCGAAAAACCAGCCGCTCGCGCGCCTCGTAACCCGTTAATTGTTGTTATTTTTTTAAACGTATATAATGTATATGTTTTTTTTTTCCCATTTCGTTTTATCGATAGTATTATTTTTTAAAACTGTATCATAGTAATATTGTATACGGGCGCGTAAAAATGCCAGGGAGACGCGTGCTTCGTAATAATTTTCGATCTTTTCGTCCGTATAATACCGCGGTAATATCGGCGCATATAATAGTTACTTTCTCCCGGCGCGTCCTATAATATTTTATTTGGTATACGACATGCGGGTCGTACTTGATTTTCGGTTTTTTTTTCTTTTTCTCTTTAGGTTCAGAACGCGGCGAGAAACGTATTGGTTTCACTGCGACGCGCGCCTTTTTTATTAAATTTTCTCCGTATGTAAACAACTTTTCCACCGAAATCCATACTCCGACGTTAAAATATGAAGAGACGTATTATAGTAGAAAAATCGCCTACATTCTTTGTAGCTGTCATTTTATATTGGAGAAAACCGAGAGCGAACCGTACAGGAAAAACGAACAAATTTACCACACTATACGAGTTTCGTTAAAGCAGTAAAAAAAGAAAAAGAAAAAAGGAACTTAACGTAGTAGATTTTTTTTTTTAAGCGGTTTTAAGTTCGAATTTTAACGGAAATCGTAGAATTTCAAAACGTTTTCAACTAACTTCGCTCGGAATCGGAATACAACAAGGTAATAAATTTAAATCGTACACATTTTTTATTCGCTCTGCTATTTGCTATCGCAAATTTATTTTTATTTATTTATTAGTTTATGAAACTAATATCCGTTAATACGCGAAAGCGCTAGTAAACACTATAACACGTGGAACCGATAGTGAATTCAAGTGTATTAAGTATACGACGCGATTGCGCGTTTTTCATTTACGTGCACAAGGAATCCGTGTTCTCTCCTTTTCAATCCGGGACTCTATACGTGTCCGTCTGCCTGTCCGCCACACAAGTTTACGATTGTACCGCGGTACCGGTGGAATTGTGTGTGCACACTTGACGGTCAAAGCAGCAGACATTTCGGGAAAGGATGAATTTCTTGCGATGTGGATGCAAAGGCGTGGAAACGTCAAGACGCTGCTGCTTGAAATTCGATTTTTTCCATCGATTTATGTTTTCGAAAATGATTGAGCCCGAAAAACACCTACCGTCGGGTAATTCAGCCGGCGTATACGTAGTGGTATTGCGCACTGCGTTCGCCCACCGATATTTCGGTAAACGCGGAAGGCACGACACGGGGGCGGTGCGTCGAGACGGGTGTTCGGGGGACGGGGCGAATGCGTGCAGTGCTGTGTTATCTATGCGGTCGGATCTGTGCGGCCGTCAAGAGTGAAAGCCGTGGCGGGAGACGACTGACGGTCCGTGTCGGATTGTCGCGGTAAAAAAACGCGCGGGAGACGATGGCCGAGGGTCTCGTATACCTAAAAAAAATCGTATAAAAAAAAAAAAAAATTAAAAATACGAAGTACAGATAGTTTAGAGTGTACAGTGCACATAGTAGTGCGTGTGCGTTTGTGTATGTGCGTGTGGTGTGTGTACGACGACGACGAAAACTCTGTCGGGAATACATTTTTTATATATATATATATATATATTTTTTTCAAACGTCGTCGCTGGTTTTTCGTCGTCGCGGGGCGCTCCGGGTCCGAGATGCTTATCGCCGTCGATTCTTTGCGGGCGCGCGCGCCGCGTCTACCGCGAGTCGTCCGAAAGGTGTCTGGCCGACCGTGTTTTACATTTTCTAATATAATAATATTATTATCGTAACACAATATAATCTATACATATATATGTATATACTTATACAGGGTAATTCACGATAAGATAACATTACACCCATCGACCGCGCGTCTCGGAAAGAATCGACTTCGGAATTTGTCCGTTTTTCAACGGCGATTATTGAATAAAAAAAAAAAAAAAAAAACCGCCGGTTCTAAAATGTTATTTTACCGTTGTTTTTTGTCGCCCTTATTTTCGACAGCTAAACGGTACTGTACGTTCTTCTACGGTTTTCCAGGCAAAGAGATCTAGGAGTGGTGCACTGGCCGCAAAGGCCACGCGTCATGACGAGGAGACACAAACGACGCTATACGCTCTACCCGTGACCGAACTTTTAAAAGCGGAACATCAACGTCGACGGGTCGACGGAAATCGAAAACGCACGCAAACCGTACAATACTCCCCGTCTGTTTGTAGAGTTCTTACGACGGGTTGCCGGTTTCGAATCGAAATCTTGCCACCCTCCCACCACTCACAAAAAAAAAAAAAACAAACAAACAAAACAACTGTTTTGATACTGTACGTTTTTGTAGCCGCTCGTTTGTGCGTCCGAAACGCTTCGTTTGTACGTTAACGTGTTTTCCCAGATCGTATCGCAACGGGTACGTTACGTCTTCGCGGGGACACCCTGTATACAGGCGTATAGTACCCGAGCCGCACGTCTGTGAAATACACATAGGCACTATACGTGTAGAGTATGAAAGCCCGTATATCCCGTGAGAGTAGAAGAGTAATAGTGTGTGTGTGTGTGTGTGTGTGTGTGCGAGCGTGGAATTCTCGCGTCGCTTATAAATTATAATAATTCGTCGGCTGCCCCTCGTCAGAGTCTCGGACGATTTTGATTTTATTTTTATTATTTTTTTTTTTTCGTCCCGTGCGATGCGAGGTGGATACCCCGCATTACGGCGGCTGTATAGTGTACCGTTTGTCGTGTGACGTTTATAAAAAAAAACGAGGCGAATATCGCGGTCGTTACGTGTAAAGAGTATACAAGAGATGGGGGGAAAAAAAAAAAAAAAAAAATCGACGAAAAATACGGCCGACGCGAAGACGAGGCCATCTTCTAATCCGACGGATTACGCCGCGGGTTCCTTTCGTATTATATTATTTCGTGTGCCCATACAATCGGTATAATCGGCTAGGTATACGATGACGATATTATGAATACTCCTGGGCGCCTTTCAAATTTCAGAATTTCTCCGCGGCGTCTTGTGAAAGACTCCCTCCCCGCCGCCGCTGCCCGTTACCGTCACCAAACTTCTTCATTACCCCGGGCCGAATAACGACACGACAGCGCGCGCGTTTCAAAGCTACCTAACAGAAAAACGTTTTGTACAAATTCAATACGTACGTAATGGGGGATGAGAGGGGGATGTTATTTCGACACGACCCGTCGTCTAGTAAAGATACTTTTTTTTTTTTTTCGTCCGTTCTCGGCGTCCTCGAGTCGGAAGGTAAAAAAAAAAACATCATCTTTTCCCCGCGGTATATTATAACGGTAAAATACTCGTAAAAAAAAAAAAAAGATAATAAAAATCGAGCCAGTTTACGTATCCGGGTTATACACGCGGCGCCGCGATTATCTTAGACGACACGAAAACAGCGTTAGAATAATTGGCTTTATTTCTCGATTGGTGGTGTAATAGTTAGATGCATAATAATCGGGTACAATATTTTAAATTCTGAGTGAAACGAAGAGCTTGTCTTGGGTTTTACTTTGGTGGTGTATTTTATTTTTATTTTTTTTTTTTTTTGGTGGAGGGGTTTGTAAAAAACATTCGAACAGTTGGCAAAAATATCGCTCCAATCAAGAAATCTGCATGTCGGAAATTTCTTGTAGAATTTTCGATTTATTATTGATGCATTAAAAAGATCGTTTTAGGATATTATATCCGAATATTCATCCGGTTATAAATACACCTAGAGACTTGAAACTTGGTGATAATACTTATATTTGACTTACTTAGACGTCGTGAATTTTCCCTTCGTGAAATAATCCTATGTATCCTATCTTCCCGACTTCTCACCTACAACAGTGACCGCTCCCATCCCCAGTATCAGCTATTATTTTTATTTTTTTTTTTGTAATAGGTCACTTTTTCCGCGACGACGACCAATACACATATCCTCCCTGTCGCAACTTGCCCTTTCTAAAACGGCGGCGCCGGCCTATATTCAGACCATAATAACAACAATTTCAAAATACACCGCTGCGGGACGTTTTCGCACGGCGGAGGTTAAGCCGCGCGGTTCGATAGTAATAATATTATTATTTCGCTTTCCCTCCTCCCTCCGCCCCCCCTTACCGTTCGTTTACTTCGCGTCTATAATATTTACTTGGCCAAGGTTGGGCCTCGGCGGCGGCGCCGTGCTGCGGGTGTCGCGCGAAAAATTAGCGGTGGCGACGACGACTGTGCCGGCGTATTCATTCCGCGGCTCGCGTTTACGAAAAAAAAAAAAAAAACAAAAAAAAAATCGACGGCGCACACGCGCGTGAACAAAATTAAAACGCGCATCACCTTGAGGCTGGGCGGACTCTGGCAGAGTAAAATATCGCGTATAGGTACCCGCGCGCAATAATAATTATTGTTATGAAGTATTTAATACCCGTGCGTTATGTACGTACCTCCATCATCGTCGACCGGTTATATTATGTCCGATACGCACCGGTGCCCTCCGCCGCCCCCCCTCTCCACCGCAGATCGTTTTGCAATAACAATAATAATAATAGTAATAATAATGTGTTTTCGGCGGGCGAGTATGCGCGTGCAGTGTTATGTGTCCGCCGGCTCGCAATCGTTTTGCAATTCGATTGTAATTTTAGATTCTCTGCGAAGAGATTCTTCTCGTATTGGTTTTACAAATGGCGTTTATTATTTTTTCCGCGGACAACATTTCTGCCGGCAATTTCGCTCCGATTTTCAATGAAAGCACTTTTTCTGAAACGGAATCCGACTGGCGTGGTACTTAATAAGGGACGTATTGTTTTTGATTTTCCCAGATGTTTTCCTAATAAACCGGAAAAACCGGAGAAAACGTAGGAAAATCGGTACAATATTAATGAAAATGTATAATGTCTATGTAATTATTTTACGACAATATAATATATTGTTAACAAAGCGACACTATCAACCGAATTCCGCTCAGAATCGTTTTTTCGTTAGCAATGGTTAATCGTTGTCTACGGATATATATTAAATTACCTACAACAGCGGCTACACCCGTCCCAATTATCCTAGGACAGCTTTTTATACATACGAGGGCTAATTGAAAATTATCGAGACCAATAATATTTCGAAACCGAGTGTTGGAGGCCAAAAGGATTGGTAACCCTGACTTCTATATAACTTCTTCTGAGCACATCTATTCTTTTATAGAATCTCTATAAGCTTTTTCCGTTTTTATTCAACGATATTTTTCAAAAATATGTTTGTCGGGTTCGGCGATTTCGTGATGAATCTAAAACAAGAGAAATTTGCTGACGCTCGACGACGCATCTACAGTTTTCAATTGAAATTTGTTAGCATAAACTATGCAATGTTGTATCTCTCTGAAACTAAAAAAAAAATTCAGAGAAATTCTCTAGCTCTTCTTTTGGATTCATTACGAAAATAGTCCAACTTGAAAAATTATATTTACCAGTGAAATCAAACCGAAGAAGTTTATAGTGAATCTGTAAAAACGAATATGCTCAAAAAAATTCATAGAAACAAATGATACTAATCCTACTGCTTTTAAACGCTCGGTTTTCGAGTAATACTACTAGTCTCGAGAAGGATCCTCTTATATATTTAAGTATATAATATCTTATGTCACGGCTTGTGACGTTGAAAATCGAATAACGTCGAATTTCCGTTCACTAGAACCTGTTCGTTTTACTGTGCAGTGAATTGGCCTACTGTCAAATTCTTATGTACCTAAGGTTGTGGGGTAGCAGTGGGAAAAACTTCTCCCACACTGCTGTCAGTTAATTAAAAAAAAGAAAAAGATACCCAAGAACGTTTTTGGGGGGGAAATTTCCAGGGGCCTGTCTCGGACGAACGGACCCAAACTCCTAGTGACTTTCGTTTATGGAATAAAATTCGTCTAATGTATTGCGGTTAATCAAAGACGAAAACACGAAAAAAATCAACTTTCCTATACTTACTTTTCTTTATGTTTTCGAAAAAAAAACACATCATAGTAAAATCTAATGAAGCGATTATTAGGGAGACGCAAAAGTAAGGACGGGGGTAACGCGAGCGATGAGCATAGACGTCTTTTTATGAAATGTTTTTTTTTTTTTTTCCATTCAATACTGTGTACGAACAACGCCTCGCGGAACTTTTCTGTCCAATTTTAAACAATACGACACAATATTATCATCTTCCCACGGGGCCGTCGCGACGTGTTTCGCGATAATATAAAACAAACGTACGGTCGGACCGCGGCCCGTTGGTAAGAAGCCAAAAAATATTCTATACGTATTTATATACATGTGAAACAAGTACACAGAAGTCAAGTATAAAGAAAAAGAATCTATAGGTATCTCGCATAAGTACGTACACCTATACATACGAGATAAATTTTTGTGTATACGAGTCGTATTTGCCTTTTAAGGGGGTTGGCCCCGCTGCGTGTGTGTGTTTGTGTGTGTACTTATCTCTCGAAAAATATACACACACACACACACACACACACACACACACGTTTACGAAATATATCACGCGAGCTCCGGGCTATGCCGTGTCCGTTCGGCCGCGTACTCCACGCTCGGACTACCGGCGACTACGTCGTCTTCGTCTCCGTCCTCGTCCTCGTAGTCGTCGTCGTCGTCGTCGTCGTCGTCGCCGTCGCCGCCGCCGCCGTCGTGTTTCGACGGTTCAGCAGAGTCATCGCTTCGTAATGTTATACGCGAGCGTTCTTTTCGGAGGTTAAAAACCCGACGAGTGCTACTGCCGGCCGCGGCAGCTCTTGAAATCCAGAGGGAAAAAAAAAAAATCGTTTTTTTCATAGTGTTTATACGCATACACGTATGTATATATATACACAATAGTAATATGTACACGCGAGCACGTATGCGCATATTGTATATAATATGTGCGTCAGTAGCCAACGTGTCACTGACCGGTGGCATTTTTTTCTCTCTCTCTCTCTCTCTCCCTTTACGTTTATCACGTAACAAACGGGTATCGATCGCCAAAAAGTACGGTGCACACGTAACGAGCCGCGGCCAAAAGTGAGATTTTTCGCGTTTATGAAATTTCGTACGCCCATCTAATATATATATATATATATTTGTCATTAAAGAAGCCGTCGTGCACTGGCCGTTTTCGGTGTTCGAGTTCCATATACGTACGTGTATGTACGAGTTATCCGTACGTTCCGGGCGCGCGAGTACATGATACCAATAATAATAACGTACCCGCCCGACTATTATTGCGTTTCACCGCGATAAAAAAAAATTGTACATTATATAAAATTTTCGTAACAAACCCGAATTGCGTGCAACACAACAATGCGCGCGGTTCGTTTGCATACGCGCGTATCGAACACTAAATAATGTCCAATGTTGTTTTTATTCGCGCGCGCGTTACACCGTAGTGTTGTTATACAACCGACGGTGTACGGGGTCGAACGGTCGGAACGAATTTGAAATTTCAGTGTCCGTTCCCGTAGTGTAACAACGCGTGTCACACATTCGAGTATTAATTTCGCGAAATTGTCGTGTATTTCGCGTATAAGTGGGGCGCAAACCCGTTTCCGTTTCGTCGACCGGACGGGTTTTCGCGAAACCGCGCGGTTCCGCATTGCCTACACTGTCGGCGTCCCGTTTGCCGTCCAAATTTTGAGATTTTTCTCGAAAAACTCATCTTTCCGTTTTTTTTTTTTTTTTTTTTTGGATAGGGAGGGGGGAAGGAAATACGTTTTACGACGGGTTTAACGAACACGGTCGCCTTGTATATTTTCTCTAAGTTCTAGCGATCATCCGCGTTGAGACTTGTCTAGAAAAAATGATTCGTCTCTTATCTTATCATGTACGATTGGTTAACGAGCCATTTATCTGTTCATTATCATGGAAGACACATTTACTTGTCCAGATACATTTCGCTCAAAACGCATGAATTTTAAATTCTGAGCGGAGCAAAGAACGTATCGGTTTTACAATTATATTTCATTTTTCATTTTGTTTTTTTTTTTTTTACGCTGTACACAAATCCTACCAGAAATCTTGCGCCAACGTATCAAGTGTAGCATCTATTCTACAAGGGAATTTTCCCGGGGTGAGATCGTTAGGGAGATCGTTATTTTGATTTTTCCCGGCGGTTTTTACAAAAAACTGAAAACACGGAGAAATTTACGAAATGCATTATGTTTTTATTTTGGTTTTTTTTTTTTTTTTTTTTCTGTGATTCTGTTAAACATATTCATAGGAACTTGAAATTCGGACAGAAAATTTGTATTCGGCTTTTCTAGACGTTATCTCTAGTCATTGTCTGTGGATATTCTAAACGTTTACAACGCACTATAATAAAACCCGACTCGATACCCACCGCAATAATAACAGAATACAATAAATACATAAATTGTATATGTTTGTATTACATATTATACAGCCGTAAACGTTATACACACGATTGTTGTTTACAACAACAAACAACGCGCGCACGCGCACGATGCGGCGGCGGCGTTTTAATGTGTGAAAAATTTAAATAACACGTTCGGCGGTGGGAGGGGGAGGGGGATGGGGCGGCGCGAGCGTCTAACGGTTCGTAATAAAATAAAATAAAAAACAAACGTACGCACGCCGCGGTCAATTACAATAATAATATTATTGTCCGTTACCGTATCACAATAACTCTCGCGCGCAATATCAATGACAATAAAAAAATTATCGTCCCGTGTACCGTACAAACGTTCGGTCAGGTACATTAGACGTAATAATATTAGACATCGCATTGTTGTCGCGGGTCTTACGGCGACAATACGGTATTTTACCTCGGCGGCGGCGGCGATGCAAACAAACTCCGCGTGCGGTTTACGATGCGCTACGGACTTGAACTTGAAAACAATATATTGTATAATAATGTTATTCGTATACCCACCAACCCACCTGCCTACATAATATACGTACGTACGCGATTATTAAACGCATAACGCGTAGATAGGTACTGATTATTATTCGTACAGGTATTATGCACCTGTATTATGCATACGTGTATTTACGCGTAATAGTACGTCCGCGCACGACTGTGTAAATAGAAAAAAAAAATAATAATAATAATGCGTGCGGCGAAACTAGTTTTGACGATAATTTTTCATACGGCTAGGGCTGTGAATTTGGCGCGGTGAAAAACCTTAAAAACGATATTGAAAATGCGCGGAACGATCTATGCGCGAAAAATGCAATACGAAATGGTTTTTAATTTAATTTTTACGTTTGTTTTGATACCGTTGATATTAATGTATTATGTAGATAAAATTACAAAACGGACGCTATCCGCTGTTACGTCTTTTAGCCGTTGCGGAGCGAGACATATCACCCAAACTGTGTCTTGCGCACGTGCTGTCTCACCCGTGACGAGAAAACCGTCCGATTTATTACGAAAACCAATATCATTTCTGTATCGTCTGCTCGGAAACAGAGAGCGAGAGACGTATCGGCCGAACGCGACAAATTGAACATGTGGTACACTTATCAGATTGGTTAATAAAAAAAAAAATAATAAAAAAAAATCATATCGATCACATTCGATTAATATTGGTAAGTTTACAACCCCCCCCCCCCCCCCCACCCCCACCGTTTTTTATTTACGTTCTTCTTATTCTAATAACGGACATTCTTCGTTGATGCTTTCAATGCATTTTGTGTAAAAACGTGTTAACCATCGTCGGGTCGGGTACCGTGTTTTGACACACATTTGTATTTTTGGAATACGACACGATAATAATAAATGGCAATTCTCGACAAAACCTGTTAATTGAAATTTTTTCAGGAAAGTGTCTTTACGTTATTTTAATTTTTTTTTTTTATCAAATCAATGTTATTTCTGTCAAAAATAATATCGACGTACGCGTTTCGCCATGGCGACGGTTCATTAATTAATTATTTGAATACTGAGCGATTGTTGTGTGTATACCAGAAAAAAAAAATTGGCCCACATGGAAGTTAATACACTCATATCATTACGCACATTAAAACGCCGCGTGCGCCTATGTATATATATATGTATAAAATATAATATATTACGTTTTTATCATTTCATCAGATTTGGCGTTCATCGACGCAAAATTATAACCAGTTTGGCGTTTATATGTATTTTTATGTTACATTTTTTTTTTTTTTTCGACTTGTCCGCTTTTACAATTCGAAATAATT